AAAAACTAAAGATTCATGGGGCTTCCTGTTGAAAAGGGTGGGCATTTTCTTGCAAAGATGAGGATCCAAGCAAGGATACCTCTTTGTACTGCTCCTATTCAACGTTGCACTGAGAGTTCTAGACACTGCAATAAGGTAACCGAAGGAAGTTCTACAGAGGAACCGACGAAATCAAAGCCAACTTTTTCACCGACTTTCTTCAGGTGCTCCCAGTTTATGTGTGTGTGTTTACTTCACACGCTCATTTATGTGTGTGCATTTACTTCATACAAGTTTAGTACCTGTGCGGGTCCCTGCATCTTTCATCATAGCCAAGATGCTGAGGAGTTGATCACCATCAGGGTCTCTACGTTACCTTTGACACCCATAGCCACTTCTCTACCACTTTCCTCTCCCCCACCCCCACCTCCTGGCAATCACTAATCTGTTTAGCATTTCTAAAAAATATGCCATTGTCTAAATAGAGTTATGCTTTCTATTGTGTAACCTTTGATATTGTTCCACCCCACACAAACACACACATACTTAGCATAATTTCCTGTGATTCATCTAAATATTGCATGTATCCATAGTTCATTCCTTTTTATTGCTAAGTAGTATTGCACAAAGGAGCCCTAATGGGCTTACTGACTGAACTGCTCATCACAAAGTCAGTGGTTCGAACTCACCGGCTGCCCTGTGGGAGAAGGCTGAGGCTTTCTGCGCTTGTGAAAATGTAGTCACAGACACCCAGCAAAGCAGTTCTACTCTGTCCAACGGGGAGCAATGAGTCGAAATTGACTCTTTGACAGTGGGAATAATCCAGTTTGCTGAGCTATTCACAATGAAAGATATCTGGGTTGTTTGCACTTTGGGGCTTTTAAGAATAAAACTGTCACGAACATCTGTGTACAGGTTTTGTGCGAGTGGAAAGTTTTTATTTCTCTGGGATGAGTCTAAGGCACAACAGTTCAGCCCAGTGTCTCCACGGAAGAAAGGAATGGCAGTTTGCTTCTAGGAAGATTACAGCCTAGAAACCCCAATCGGGAAATTCTAGTAAAACTTCACCCATGGGCGCTAATGATGACAGGGTCATGGGGAGATTTTAAGGGGGACCGCCAAACTGTTTCCAGGCTGCCTCTACATTTCACACTGCATCCAGCAATTTTTGAGCCATCCCGTTTCTCTGTATCCCCGGCCCCCACCAGCATTTGGTTCTGAGTTTTACATGTTCATGATTCCGATAGGTGCACTGGGATACCTCATTGTGATTTTAATTTGCATTTCCCCGAGGGCCGATGTGGAAACTACTTTCACATACTTACATGCCATCTCAGTATCTTTGGGTGAAATGTCTTTTCATGTCATCTTGCCCATTTTCTAGTTGAATTGCTTGTTTGCTTTTAAACAGTGGTGCTTTGAGGGTTCTTTATATATTCTACATGTTAGCCTCTTGTCAGGTATTGCCAATATTTTCTCCTAGACTTTAGCTTGTTTTGTTTTTCATTCTCTTGGTTTTCACAGAGATACAACTGTACATTTTATTGAGGCTTGATGGGTTAGGGGTTTTTTTCTTTATGAATCATGCTTTTGTTGACAAGTCTAATTTTTGTTTTGCTTAGTCCTAGATCCAAAAGACTCTCTCCTTTGTTTCTTCCTAAATGCTTAATACGTTTGTGATTGGATCCACTGTGAGTTGGCTTTTGTAAGTCGTTGTGAGGCGGCATAGCATTGGCTCCAGCTCATAGTGAGCACACATGTCACAGAATGAAGGGTTTCTGGCCCTCAACTCTGCTCACCATGGCTCCTGGTGACCCTACTGTGGTCACCACAGGGTCAAGCCACCTCACTGGGTGTCTCCCCTTTTTGCACCAACCTTCTCTTTTACCAAATAGGACGCTCTTCTCCAGTGACTGTTCCCTCCAAAAGCAACCCACCAACCAAATGATGTGTCCCAAATTAGCAAGGTGCAGTTTCCCCACCCAGCTTGGAAGAAGCCTCCGCAGTGTACCGCCCCTAAGACTGAGTGGTTTGTTCGCTTGCTCTGCTGGCCACTCACGGTACAGTCGGTGTCCTTCACAATGTTCTCCACGACTTGAATACATCACACTGTCTTCACTTATCTTTTCTCCTTACCCAGCTTCTGCAGGCAGGTGAGGCGATTGAGAGCCCCATGATTTAAACCAGGTGTGCCTGCCTTACTGATCGCTTTGCTTTTTTTTAACACTTTAAAGGAGTCTAGCTATTGATTTGCCCAATGCAGTACATCCTTGGATGTCTTGCCTGCTGCTTCCATGGCCGTTGGTTATTGCTCCAAGTAGAAAAAAGTCTTTGACAGCTTCTGGTTCTTCACGATCCTGATGTTGGGTATGGACTCATGTGTGAGGCTCCTGTTTCCATCACGTTGAAGCATTATCCATTCTGAAGTCTGATCGGTACCTTCATTACGAAGTGCTTCAAGTTGGCTTCATGTTGTGTAAGAGATTTAGGTCAAGGTTCATTATTGGCGCATGGATCTCCAAGTACTTGAGTACCACTTGTTGAACGGGCTAGATTTCCTCTTTCGACTTAGCGTATATGTGCAGGGCTATTTCTGCATTCTCTGTTCTGTTTCATTGACAGGAGCTATCTGTTCCTCCACGGGGGCCACACTCTTGATTACTGGGTTTACACTGTAAGATTTTAATATAGTTATTTTTCACTCTAATCATCTTTCTCAAGATCTTTTCAGTTATTCTAGAGCCTATATGCCTATTCATGTAATTTTTAGAATGGGCTTTTCTCTGTCTCAAAAATCCCCGCTGGGATTTTTCTAGGAACTGCTTTAAAACTATAGATCATTTTTAGGAGAATTGACCTTATTTTCTATGTTTAGTCTTCATATCCATGAACATCCTATATCTTACCACTTGTATTGAGATCTTTGATTTTTTTCAGCATTTTGTAATACTTAACCCAGAGATCCTGGCATGTTTCTTAAAGCATATACCTGGTTACCGATTTTCGTGGGAACATCGGACTATAAACGACAGTGGGTTTAACTTTTGTCTTCCACATGTTCATGATGATTATGCTATTTTTGTGTGTTGGTATTGCCATCAGCAATCGGAAGGACTCGTTTGTTAGGTCTAGGAATTGTTCTTTGCCTTTTGTTTTTGTTTTTCTTTTGTTGTGACTGACTCTTGTTTTGTTTTTATTTTAGAATTTCTTGTGGTAGGTTGTTTTTTTGTTTGTAGCTTTCTGGACATTTCCACACCCACAGCCATGTTATCTGCTTGGTCTTTAGTTTTGAATAGTTTGATCTTGATGTGTCTAGGAATTGGTTCATTTGTGTCTAACTGATTGGCATACACTGAAACCCTTGACTATGTAGGCTTGTGTCTTTACTCAAAGTGGGGAGGCTGTTTCCAGCTCTTATTTAAATGCCCCTCTCCTGTGCTGAACTTTTCTCCACCTTATCTGGGGCTTTGATCACAGGTCCCTGGGACTGTGATTACTCTTACTCCGTTTTCCCTCTGTGCTGTTCAGATGGAATCGTTTTTACTGACCTACCTTTAATTGTATCGAGTGTTCATTGTCTCTCTATCCTGCCATGACACCCTCCAACGGAGATTGGCTTTTAATTTGCTTGATTGGAGAGTCAAAGAAAGTAAACTGATCCATTTAATAATAAGTCATATTTTGATCTTCTTCCGTGATCTGCCGACTGTTGTTGGCTTTTCAAAGTCCTCACTGTGTGCTGCATGCATTCTGATGCCCCGATTTTATGACTGTGCTGTGCGTGCGCGCGGTGGAGGAGACCAGGTAGAATGTGCCAGCCCCGGTACTCGGAATGAGAACCACACCGTGGTGCTTGTTTGAGTCACTGACTCATGAGGGAATTTGAAAGACGCTAAGCTAATTCAGAGAACATTTGAGGAGCTAGGTATTTATGTGTCATTTGAGGGCAGAATTAGGGAAAACAATAGACATTTGTCTCAGAGTGCTAGAAGCTGATTGTCTGCATTCAGGGTCTCCGTTGGACCATGTTCTTCCCAAAGGCTCTGGGAAAAGATCTTTCCTTTGTTTTCCTTCCAGCTTCTGGTAACGCTAGGGTTTCCCTGGCTTATCATAGACTAATTCCGATCTCTGCCGATGTTCTCACATGACTGTCCGCTCCCTCATGCTCTTCCCTTTTGATAGGACACTACTCACATCGGATCAGAACCCCCGCTAGCTGCTTACGACCTCATGTTAACTGATAACCCTTTCAAAGACACTGCATCCAAACACGGTTCTGTTCACAGGTATTGGGAACTAGGATTTCCGCATACATGCTTAGGGAATACAATTCAATCCACAACAAAATCCCGCAGGACAATACACTTTAAACTTGACAGGTCCGTTCCACTGGACATAACGTTGCTCTAGCAGAAAGGTGCCAAGTTGAAATTCTCTAAGTCCGAGCCTTTTAATGCACAGTAAATGATACTTTCACAATTTACTACGTGCATTCCATGTTTATGAGTTGAGGATGAAGGACATTCAATCCCTACAGAACCATTCTGTGAATTTTTTGCTCTGTATGATTTGGAGATTACACGCTGAGTGGAGTTGCTATTTGTTTACCTTTATTTCCGCGATTTGGGTAATTTCTCTTTTAAAATAGTGACTCAAGGTTTTCTTGCAGAAGATCTCAACTGAAGCAAGAGATGGTAAAAGACTGACTTTTTCCCTTGAATAAGCAACTCACCATGTTGCAACTCAGTAACTCAATAAGTATTTATTGTGTGCCTACTGTGTGCTGGACACAGTGCTAGGCAACCACGCAGAAGCCCAATCCAACGTTTTCATAAGATGTATGGATCCCATCCTATTCTCTTGTGAATGGATTGCTCCTGAGCAATATAAACTGTGTCACGTAAAACTCTAAAATGGTCCTTGCTAGTTTGAAATCTATGCCGAGGATCAAAATACCTTAAGCCTTCTTCGGTTGCTTTAGCAGACAAAGTGACTGCATCTGGTGTCCTTTGCTCTCAAAGGAAAATCAGGGGGAGGAAAGAAGAGGAAAAAGTGAAAGAGGAGGAGGAGATTTTGTCGGCCCCCAAAATGTCTGGAGACGGGAGCCCTGACAAAGAGTGGTGCCCGCCTTCGGACCCCGACTTCTGTCTCTATGTCTTTGAAGTGGCCAAAATAATCCTGCCCATAACCAACATCAAGGAACAGATCGAGGCGCTCGCGAAGTAAGTTGCTCGCGAAGTAAGTTGTCTGTCGGCGCGTACGTACAGGTGGACCTCGCTTAACGTCCATGGTATCGTCTGTGGGATGGGACTCGATGCACTCATGTACATCCGATAAGCGTACAGCAAAGTAACCACCACCTTACCTGCTCTCTCTCTCTTTTTTTATTAAAAGATCATTTTCTTGGGGGCACTTACAGCTCTTATAGCAAAGCACACATCAATTGTATCAAGCATATTTGCACACAGGTTGCTATCATTATTTCCTAGATATTTACTTTCTGTTGAGCCCTTGGTATCCGCTCCTCTTTTTCCCCCCTCCCTCCCCACAACCCCCTCGGTGACCCCTTGATAAATTATACATTATTATTATTTTCATATCTTACACTTCACCTGGAGACTCAGGGTTTGCAAACTTACACCAGCAATTGGGTGCCCCTGGGTGTGGAGGCAGCCTTCTGAGCCTGGGGCACTTATTGGAAGCCCCCTACCCCAGCCCCCCAGGGTGGGGGGTGCGAGGATGACAGAGGGAGCGGCCTGAGCGCAGCGTCTGCCAGCAGGCCCCGTGATTGGTCGAGGCACAGCAGGGCGGCCAGGACAGCCTGGGCTCAGAAATGACAAACCCTGTGAGCTGCAGCCCAGCCAGGAGTGCGGCCAAGGCTGAGCCAGTGCCTCCTCTGGCCCTGCCTCCTGGTGCCCTCCCACGAGGCCCCGCATACCTATATGGTTAAATTTCTTCATCGTTTTTGTTTGTTTGTTTTTGTTGGGGGGGGTTAATCTTTTTTTTTTTTCATTTCCCTTTTACTTTATTTTATTTATTTATTTTAAAGATCATTTTATTGGGGGCTCGTACAACTCTTATCACAATCCATACATCAATTGAATCAGGCATGTTTGTACTATGTTGCCCTCATTCTTTTCTAGACAGCCCCCCCCTCCGTGCCCCCACCCTCATAACCCCCTGATAGGTTGGACATTGCTATTATTTTCATCTCTGGTTACATTTCTTTTAAATTCGTTTTTGGTGGTGGTGTTTTTAACCTCGAGGTGATTTGATTTTCTTCGAGGCATCTTTCAGACAAAGGTGTGCAGTAAACCCACCTCCTCTAGCGAACCGCACCACACCAAGAACGTCCTGAGTTTCCCACTGAGGTCCGGTGGCCGTCAACCTTTAGGGCCAGGGGGAAATACTTACCCCTTTGCACTTTCTCCCGTCGTCCTCCAGACCTTAGTAATGAAGAAAACGTTTGTCAAAGGGCAGCACTGTGCCCTTTGGTGTGTGTGTGGGAGGCGGGGAGTGAGGGGGATGTCTTCCTGGTGGGGGGTGGGGGAGGTGGGGCTCTGAGTTAAAAGGAATCCGATGGTGGATTAGTTGTAAACTCACCTATTATTTCCTAATGCACTTAGTCACACACACACACACACACACACACACACACACACACACACACACACCCGTTTTGGTCTGTTTTGTGCTCCACGTTCCCTTAAAGCAGTGGTTCTCACCCTCCCTAAGGCCATGACACTTTCATCCAGTCCCTCCTATGGCGGTGGCCCTCCTCCCCCGAACCACAGAATGATGTTTGTTGCTACTTCACCGCTGTCATTTTGCAACCGTGATGAATAGGGTGAGCCTTGTGAAAGGGTCTTTCGACACCCCCCCCCCAAAGGGGTCACAACTCACAGGTTGAGAACTGCTGCTTTAAAGGGATAGGGGAGCTCCACGGGACAAAGTGGCCTCGCCTCTTCCGAGGGAAGCCCCCCACCCCGGCCCCGCCAGAGCGGGCAGGGATTATTCCCAGGCGCAGTCTCCGGGAGCCTTTAGCTCCTCCAAACAGAAGTGACTCGCAGCCTTCCCCCCTGGATGCGACCCCCGCACACGCCTCCCACGCTGCCAACCCATTGACGTCTTCTCAGCCAGAACTGAAGAAAACCCCTTTTTTTTCGGCGATGGAAGTTCCCCCGATGTCCTTGAGAGGGGATGAGCCAAGCAAATCCATGGGAACTCAGGGAAGCGTGTGTCCAATTTTCTCAGGCTGCGTTCCTCCCGCCCACGCTCCATCCTCCGCAGATCACGGTCTTTCGACAGCGGAGCCTACACAGAGCCACACAGAGAGGGACAGAGACACCACACACACACACACACACACAACCTTCCTTCCGTGCCCCAGTCATTTATTCTTGTTCCTTTGGCGTCACATACAGCAAGGGAATAAAAATCTGTCTTTAATTTTGTTGTTGTTGTTGCCATTTTGCCTTTACCCCAAGAGTGCAGCAGTGTGTTATTTGTTGGTTTGTTTTCGTTTCTGTTTGTTTCCCTTGTTTGCTTGTTGCCAGTGTGTTCGGTGGATCCCTTAGGGAGAGCCTAGTGTGAGGAGAAACCCACAGGCCAAGTCTTACCCATCCTGCTGCCTGACACGCCCCCCTCCCAGCCAACTCCTTTGCATCCTCTTTCTGTTACCTCCTCTTCCATCTTTCCTGCTACGTGAATGCCACCTCTTTCTCTAGATTAAAAGTCATAATAAAACCTGAAAGAAAAAAACACCTCACAAACTATGAAACGATGCACGAAATGACCGGGAGCATTCCCTGAATCTGTCTTGTCTCTTGAGTCTAAGCTACTGGAAAGAACCGCCGTCTGTTAGTCCAGTGCCGAGATCCACGGAAAGCATGAAGACCACTCGCCAAGAGGGAGAACCTCCTAAAGCTGCTAACAATTGAGGGTGCTGCTGGCGACAGCTGGCTGTCAGCGGTTGGCATTCCTGTCCTTCCTTCTGGCGAGGGAAATGAATCTGCGGTTTCTATATTATTAGTTTGAATGTAGCAAACACAGTGCCATTCAGCCTGTGAAGCTAGTACATTTTTTGAAAAGTCAGGCGAACAACAAACAATGTAAGGAAATGTAGGTTTATACATGTTGCTACGTTTAAGGATCCAAACTAAGATCCAATGTGACTGATTTGCTATCAATCTGATCGACACAGGTATGTTGCCGAAAAAATGGGTGGTCCTATTCCCAAAGAGAAGCTTCATGAATTCAGCTGGGAACTTCATATAAGCGAGCTAAAGTTCCAGCTTAAAGCCAACGTCATACCAATTGGACTGATCAAAAAAGGGACCTTCTACCATCGAGCCTTGCTTTTCAAGGTATTTCAGCCACTTTTTATCTCTCTTGCCTTTAGACAGAAATGATTTCGCTTTTTTCTTTATCATGTGGAAGTGAGCCAGTTGTCAACATTCAACTAGGTAGCAGTCCTATCTTGTAAATGTATGTGTGTTTATTTATATAAAGCACTGCTATGAAATCATAGAAACTTTAATTTGTAAGAAATCCCCAAATGTCAAGCTATTGTTCCTCAACCTATCCTCCATATAGGTCAGCGGCTCTCAACCTATGGGTTGCAGCCACTTTGAGGGTCGAACAACCCTTTCACAGGGGTCGCCCAATTCATCGTAGTAGCAAAGTGATGGTGATGAAGTAGCAACGGAAATAATGTGATGGTTGGGGGTCACCCCCACCTGAGGAGCTGTCTGAAAGGGTCTCGGCATGAGGAAGGTTGAGAACCACTGCCCTAGGTCTTTACATTTCCGAAGGCAATATGCCCATCTCGCTAAGCCTTCCTCAAAAAAGTTCACGCGCTTCAATTTACACCACGTCGAAACGGCACTGTGGGTCCCCTCCAGGAGCATGAATCCTCTTCCTGTTAGTGTTCTTTGGGTTTGGGCAGCAAAACAGAAGGGACCTGGGCCTCTAGAAGGATGGGGTCAAGGTTCACCAACAACATTCTCACAGGACAACACGTGTCACCCTGGAAAAACGTGCAGATGCATTATCATGAGGGGAAAAGAATCTCTCTCCACAACTTTTTTCCCTTTTTCCCCAATATAATTTTTTCATTGTCCTAAAACCGTCGTCACTGTCAGCTCCTATGATTGCCCTGCGTCCTTCAAGAAAATCTGTCAAGGTCACTTCTACGGAGTTGCCACAACCTTCTGAGCTGGCCTCTCTGGCCCCGCCGCTCCCCTTGGGAGCTATTGTTTGGATTGGGCTCTTTTTTAAAAGGCACCCTAGTGACTGAGCCAAGTGTCCTACTGAGAGAAACTCCTCTGCCGCCGTCTGCTGAGCACAGACACACTGAAGCCCGTGGTCTGTGGAACAAGCGTGTGCAGGGTGAACTGGGAGGCTAGAAGAGGGCTCTGCATACTGCGGCTCTCAGGCCGTGTGTGGCTCTTCCGTCTGTACGTGTGGCTGGGCCGTCCAGTTGAAGATCTGGAAAGGGCCTTCTCCAGAGAGCGGTGATGGCACTTGTTCGCCAAACTTTCATTTATGGCTCAAATCACGTTTACATTGTTGTGACAGACAGGATTGGCTCTTCTGTCGCAAAAGTTTGCCAACCCTTGCTGCAGTACATATACATATTTATTTATTTATTTACTTATCCTTGGGTATACACACACATATACACACAAAAAACGTATAGAGATGTAGATATAAATCGATAGATATGCATGCATAATATATACACATATATACATCAAAAAGGTTGTGGAAAAGTTTCATTTCTTTAAATTTTATTTGCCATGAACTTTTTGAAGCCTCTTCATGTGTGTGTATGTGTGGAGCTATATATATATAGTGTGTGTGTGTGTGTGTGTAGATATATATATATATATATCACCACCAGACTATTAGAAGTTGAAGGGAGCCCTGGTAGTGTAGTGGATATTCATTGGACTGCTAACCAGTAGGTCAACAGTTCAAAACCACCAGCTACTCCGTAGGAGAAGGAAGAGGCTTTCTACTCCCATACACAGTCACAGACCCTGAAACTCACAGGAGTGGTCCTACTCTGCTCTATAGGGCTGCTGTGAGTAGCTACCCACTAGATGGCAGGGAGAGCAAGAGAGACAGAGATGAGATGCCTATTCACACATTTGGATGTGAACACAAGGTATTAATGCAGAGGAGGAAAAGGGCCTCCAGGTTCTGAGCTGCAACCAGGGTGATTGCACAATTCACCGAGATGAGGACTCTAGAGAAAGATCAGGTCTAAGAGAGGGGTGATCTTTTGCTCCATTGAGTCCACGGTATCTGGCACATAATATTATTCTCATATTCCCTGCCATCCAGTCAATGCCGGCTCCTAGGGACTCCCTAAGACAAGGGTTAGAGTTGCCCTGCTGAGTTTCTGAGATTACAAATGTGTGCGGGGGTAGAAGCCCCTTTGACTGGTGGTTTCGAACTGCTGACCTGCAGTTAGTAGCCAACCCATAGCTACTAAGCCCCCGTGGCTCCTCTTGGCATCTAATACGAGCCGAGAAGTATAGACCTTGTGTTCCTCTAGCTAGTTTTGCTGAGTGTCTCCTAAGAAGCGCATTGAGTCAATTCTGGCGGACAGTGACCCTAATAGGGTTTCCAAGGCCATCAATCTTTGCAGGAGCAGGTAGCCACATCTTGCTCCCAAGGTGTGGTAACCAACACTTACCCCAAGGGTGCCACCAGGGCTTACGGCCCCTAAACCTCATTCCGTTTATTACCTTTCCCCTCCCACCTCAAGTGCGCCACACGATTACCCAGAACTCTCTCACCACATTTTAACTTCAACACTCACTGACCAAATCTGCCGATCTCCCCACCTCTCCTAACTCCTTCACAGCTCCGATAGAGACGTCCGTCTCCTCCGGTCCCCGAGCCACACCAGGTTGTTGGTTCTCCTTGCTTTGCTTCCCCTCCCTGAGTGGCCTTGGTCAATTGATCCACAATCCTAACACTTAGCTCATTAATTTCCCTTGTTTCTTTGGTCCCCTTTCCTTCCATTCCTCTGCCTTGCTAGTTAACCCTTGACCAATCCAATCGTCTACTCTTTCCATTATGACAGGCAGGTTGCAGAGCACCCCCGTGGATTCGTGGAGTCTACATTAGGGTGGATTTCCATGCGACTTGGCCACTCTTTTCCAGCTGCAAGTCACAAGCTCTTTCTGTATCCTTCTGTATCTTGCCTAACCCTGTCCCTTCCCCTCTTTCCCTTTAAGTAGGTGACCTGTGACATTCCACTTGACTAAGAACTTAGAAGCCTTCAGAAACCTGGTGGGGAAGAAAAATCACTTTGGGCTATGAACCACAAGGTTAGCAGTTTGAAACCACCGGATGCTCTTCAGGAAAAAGCAGAGGCTTGCTACTCCTTATGGGTTACAGTCTTGGAAACCTACAGGGACAGTTCTACCCTATGCTGTAGGGTTACCATGAGTCGGAATAGGCTCGATGGCAGTGAGCTTGGTTTGGGGGTGAGAGGCTTTCCAATGGGAACTCATTCAACTTCAGTCTGACCTTGAGTGAGGGGAAGCCTTCAGACGCTGGCTACAGGTTCCTTGGCTCGAACTTTAACTCCACCCACCCCTTACTGTGAGTTTGGCAAAATGATCTTGCCTCAGCTCTGTCTCACAGGTTCTTTTGAGGGTATGAAATGCCTTGGAGCAAAGGGGCTTCTTAGCTAACCTTCTGCCTCTCCAGTTCTAGACCGTGAGTGCCATGGGTTCGGATGCTGTGTTTGTGTTGTGGCGACGACTGGCCAAGTAGCCTCAGGTTAGACAGAGTGTAAGGTTGGTGCAAATGGTTAATGCGCATGGGCTGCTAACTGTGAGTGTGATCATTCAAATCCAGAAGTACCTGGGAAGGAAACCAAAAACCAAACGCACTGCCCTGGAAGTCAATGCTGACTCATCGCGACCCTGTACGAAAAGGTAGAATTGCCCCCTGGGAGTTTCCAAGTCTGTGGAAACTCTGTGTGGGAATAGAAAGCCCATCTCTCTCCCAAGGAGGAGAGGCTGGAAGAGAGGAGTGGTTTAAACCTCTGATCTGGCAGTTAGCAGCCCAATGCGTAACCACTAGGCCACCGGGGTTCCTTACCTTGGAAGAAAGGCCTGGCCATTGGCTTCAGAAGAATTGCCAGTGTAAACTCTTGGGAGAACAGTTCTAATCAAACCCAGATGGGCTCACCATGTCTCAAAATTATCTCAAATGCAATCGCTGTTGTGATTGCTTTAAAAAACAAACAAAACTCTGAGCAAAAGAAAACCTAGGGCCAGAAAGTCAATTCCAATTCATGGTGACCCTATAGAACAGAGTAGAATTGCCCCATAGTGTTTCCCAAACTGTCATCTTTGGGGAAGCTGATTAGCAAATCTTTCTCCTAGGAAACAACTGGTAGGCTTGAACCGCTGACCTTGGGGTTAGTAGATGAGGGCTCAGCCATCCTGCTCTGCCGATGACAGTCATAGGTCTTCGGGATCTTGGTCTACCCAAGGCTATGTGGTGTAGTCATGATGTCGTCCACAGTCAATACATTAAGCACAATTGTTTACTTATTTGGTGAAATATTTCATTAAACGACATACTGAAAGTGCAGGTGGTGAAAGGGACAATTCTTACATGGATGCATTTGGTACCTACTCTGTGCCAACAGATAGTAGCCGCGCTAATCTAAGCACGTTCCATCTACTCATCCCCTTCATCTTTCTAAGCATCTAAGGCCTACCCTCGGAGGCAGGCCAATGGTGTTATCCCCATTTCACAGAGCAAGAACAGAAGCACCAAGGGGCTACGTCACTTGCTTGAGCTGGCCGACTAAGGGACTCGGCCAAAATTCTAACTCGGGCGGTCTGAACCAGCTTGCTTAGCCATTTGATCCTCGTATCCACTACGAGAAGGCTAAGAAGTTTCCAGATTTTTTTTTAGAGAGCAGATCATTAGTTTCACATTCAGCCATTCATAAACATTGGTTTCAACCTATCCATTGGGACCTCTTCAATGGTGCATTACTTACTCTCCTCCCTCCCTGGGTTTGTGTCCTGTATCCATTCCTCCTCCTCGTCTAGCCCTCTGAACTTGGTCCTTGGGTAAAGGCTGCCCTTTTGATCTTAAATGGTTGCTAATTCTCACATGAGGGTGAGTTCAGTTCCAGCCCATACAGGTGGCTAAAGGCCCTAGCCTCAAAGGTCTTCCCTGTCTCTATTCAACCGGTAAGCCTGGGACCTTTTATGATTCTTGAGCTTGGGTTTACATCATGATCCCACTCTACCCAAGACCTTCTAGCAGTTAGAGAAGTTGAGAGTGATCGTCAGCCAGGCACCATGCAGTTCTTTTCTCAGAGTTAGGGAGAGGGATGTTTGTGGCGTCCATTAGCCCATAGGACCAATGGTTTCCATCTGTCTGCTGATTTTCATCACTCTCCTTTCCTCTGACCAGAAAGAGGACAAGTGATCTTAGGTGGCTGCTCACATGTATTTCAGACCTCAGTTGCTACTCACCAAAAGTAGAATGGAGACCATCGTCTTGGTGAGCTATATCACCAGTTAACTTTGGTGTCCCCCAAGACTAACCCCTGAGGCCCAGTGATGCATCCTATCAGGTGTTTGACCATGTCGAACTTTGACTTTACCCACTGTGTACTTCACCACCGTGGCAGTTACATAATCTCCTGTCAACTTGGGAAGGGGTGGAGCCTAGCCTGTCAATCAGGTCGCAGCTTAATGACCTCATTTGAAGGCATCATGGAGATAAATAGCTCACTGGAGTCCAGATACACATACACTCTCTGCTTCGTATCCCTGATACCAAGACACATGGAGCTACATCAGAGCCCTGGAGCTGGAAGAGCTGTGTGGAGACCCACACCAGTGCTGAGATGCTTCCATCACCACTGATCCACAAGGCTTTCCACCCAGTGACCTGTGATCTTCCTGCACTTGGCATCATTGCATGTGGTGCATGAGTCTGAAGAGGAATTTAAAGATCGCTATTGGACATACGGGCTAATGCCGGACTTATGGACTTGATCTGGGATGTTCTCTTAATATACACTTGTTCTTTGATCTAAAGTTATCTCTTACACACATATCATTGTCTATGGACTTTTTTCTCTAGTCACCCAGACTAACACAAGCACATTAATGGCTCTAATTGCAGCAAACGTAAACCCCCAGATAGAAACCTCCTCTGTGAAATCTATATGAATTTGCTAACTATACTCCCACTCTCCCATCCAGATTTCTTTCTCTGTGTGTCTATTCACGCATCTACTCAGACATCACCACCATCACAGGACTGTGTATAGAACACTATCTGCCTCCATGGTCTACAACCCTTGCAAACTGCCCAGTATCTTGCCCCACTTCCATCATGCTTGCTCTTCTCCCTCTGGTTGCAGGTTGCCTTCCCTTCACCCAAGTAAGTATTTAGCTCCCACCCTCGACAACCCGCAAAGAATGCTTCGTGCAGAGTGACCATAAATCCTGGGCTTTTTGCCGTTGCGGTCTCATACACTATTTGTCCTTTGATGCTTCATACATTTCGTTGGGCACAAAGTCCCCCAGCGTCATCCGCCTTCTGAGGTGTTTCCCAGACTCCTTGTTCTTCTTTCACACTGTGGAATATAAAACTTTCGTTTCCTGCCCCCCACCCCCCGCCCCCCTGCCCCAATCACCTCATAATCAGACATTCCCAATGGCCACACTGAAGGGACCATTTCTAACCAAAAATACGCTACCCTAATGAGGTGTCAGCAGGCAACCCAGGCAAGCGCTGGCAATCACTCAGAGCCCCGCTTCTCTTACCGCAGGCACCCCTACACGACACAGAGCACATCAGCGGAGAAGAGGTCCCTGCCGGTTTGAGCCCCCATGCAATCGCTCTGCCTCTCCCACCCGGAAAGCAGCGTGGAAGCAGAAAGTGCTTGATAAATGCCCTCGTGCTGAAAGCCCGTGGAATAGCTTTTCTCCCGCTGCATGATCAATCTTGTACGGATGCAATACAATGTTAAGTGCCTGGAGAAAGAGACCCAAAAGTCACTTCCCAGCAGGACCCACACAGAGATGTGCAGTCTCTAGAATCTTAGAGGGGCGAGGGAGCGTGCTGTCACATTTTGTTGGCTCCTATCACAAGATTCCACATCCAGAGCCTCCTCTCTGAGCATTCTTTACATGAGTTGCATATTTCACTTTGAAATAAAGTGGATTTTGCTACAAAAGGATTTTTCTTCACACACACACACACCGCCCACGGCCTCTGGTTGATCTCTCCTTTTCTCCCCACAGGCTCTGGCCGATAAAATTGGCGTTGGCTGCTCTCTGGTCCGTGGGGAGTACGGCAGAGCGTGGAATGAGGTGAAGCTGATGGACAAGTCTCGAAAGGGCTTGATGGGGTGTCTGCCTCCCCCTGAAACGTACATCGTGGATCTCATGTTCCATCCGGGCGAGCTGATGAAGTTAAAGAGTAAAGAGGCGGACCTTTACAGATTCCTCTGAGCAGTCCAACACCAAGGGAGGGGGTGGGGTGGGGGTGTGCAAATTCACTCTGTATACTTGATAGCAAACGCGTGGGTGGGGTTTTATTTCTTTGAATAAAAGTATCATAGAAATGCTATCTCTGGGTAGAGATGTAGAGACGTGGATTGAACTGTTACGCTTCCAACGCCAGGCTTCTGCCAAGAGTCCCCAGACCTGTGTGGCCACATTACGCTCCTGTGCCGCATGTCCAACGTGCTGCCCCAGTGCCTCTTCTCACTGCGTTCCGGGGAACCTCTCTGTTCTTAGGAGCACGTATTACAGACACTCGGCTATTGGTGAGGCAATGCTGTGGCTTCATACCTGCCATTTCAGACTTCAGGAACACTCGATCAAATAAATTCCTTGGTTGGCTTGTTTGTTTTTTAAATCGTTTCATTGGGAGCCCTAGCAGATATTGTAGCAATCCATATTTCAAGGAGATTAAGCATCATTTTACAAGTGCTACCACCATCCGTTTTAGAGCATTTTCTCTCTTCCAGAGCGCTTTGAGACCAGCTCTCCTTCATCCTTCCCTCCCCGACCCTAGCCCCCAGGGACCCTTATATTGTTGTTGTTCTGTTCTGTTCTCTGTCGTATTTTACACCAACCTATGTATCTGTTCACCTGCTGTTCTGTTATCGCTGCCCTCGTTTGGGGTTATACAGTCATCGATGCTCCTGCCCCACTACCAGGTTTACCCATCGTTCATCTCTCAGTCATAATTCCTCCTGGATACATTTCAATTGATCAAACACGACCAGGATCGCTACACCCTCCTCATCATCAATTTTAGAACCCTTGCTATTTCCTCGTCCCTGTTGTTATTGGCTCACCACACACACACACACACACACACACACACACACACACAAACACCCCACATTGCATGCCCCTGCCCCCCAATCAGTGTCTCCTTAGGATAGCTTATCCTGCCTATCATATAGACAGACACCAAAAGAGAAAAAGAAAAGAGGGGGGCGGGGAGAAAGACCATATCAATAGTTCCAAGTCTAACTGATAGTCTGACCCAGAGTAGATGGATCTCTCTTTCTCTGTTCAGTAGCGAGCAGGCACTTCTC